GATAAAAAGTGCCATTTCGTCTTTACGTGGTGAAAAAGTTGCTACAAAGGGTGCTTTGGTTGAATTTTGGCGATTTTTTCCACAAGCCATGCCTGTGTAGCTCCCAACGACTTTGCCCACAATCTGATTTTCAAAAATTTATATCTCGAAAACTAGTCCAGCTAGAGCAACGTTTGTTGCGCCACTGTAAAGAGCGCACTTTCCTCTATAAACTACAGGAAATGCGCTGCAGGAACTGTTTTTGTTGATATTTGCTGAATTTTTCCATTCCGGGTTGCTGGTGTATTTTTTAGTATAGTCACTTGAAAAACTGGCCTTCACTAAAGCGTTTCTCCAAAACCAGTGCGGCTAAATGGCTGCTGGTGAATCCACTGGAAAGTTCATAATTTCTTCTAGAACTGTGAAGAATTTCACTTAATTCGCCCGGTTTTGGTTTTTTACACATTCAGGCGCATAAGTGTGGATGGCTTTGCTTTGCTAAGTGGTTTTAAATAATTTATTGCTTACGCAACCGGCCACTTAGAAGACTGCCTGTGACTCCAGTTTCAAGAACGCACTTTTCCTGATAAGTGAGGAAAATATCACCGCAATCGCTGCTTTGGTTGAGTTTTGTCCATTTTTTACCCATTTAAGTGCTTGAATGACCTCACAGGCAAAGTGACTTTCCAGAATTAATTTTTCGAAATCCAGGTCAGCCAGGAAATTCCTGGTCACGACGCTGTAAAGAGTAGACTTTCCTTTATAACTGAGGCAAAAATCGTTATACTCGCTGCTCTCCATGAATTTTGAGGATTTTTTCCACAAGACCATGCCTGTGTAGGCTCTTAGTGACTTTGCCCACAATCTGATTTTTAATAATTAATTTCTCCAAAACCAGACCAGCTAGAAAGAGGCCTGTTGCGCCACTGCAAAGAGCGTGCGTTCTTTTATAAGCGACAGAAAAATTAGGACATTCGATGTTTTGGTTGAGTTTTGTCGATTTTTTACAGCCTCCAGTGCTTCTGTAGTTTTTAGCGACACTGGCAAGCGACTTTCAAGCATGGATTTTGCGAAAATTCGCCCAGCAAGAAAGATCCCGGTGACATCAAGATAAAAAGTGCCATTTCGTCTTTACGTGGTGAAAAAGTTGCTACAAAGGGTGCTTTGGTTGAATTTTGGAGATTTTTTCCACAAGCGTGTGTAGCTCCCAACGACTTTGCCCACAATCTGATTTTCAAAAATTTATATCTCGACAACCAGTCCAGCTAGAGCAACGTTTGTTGCGCCACTGGAAAGAGCGCAGCTCGCTCTACAGCAGGAAAAATGCCCTCATGGCCCCCCGCGATTTGATCAGTTCCCAGCCAAACATTCGCCAGGCAAATGTAGAGCCTTAACAGAGTTCGTCAGGTTCAAACCTGGCACGATTACGACGATCTGCATGCCAGATAACCGACTACTGGCTGCATCCAGCTGGAAATTGTGACATTTTGCGGCCCTCACGAGCCATTAGGGGGCCGCTCGTTGCTTTTCACAGCCCTCTCGACATCGACGCGATCTGAACACTGCCGAACAGTGTCGAATAAGTGCGCGATCTACACACTGATAGATTATGGAGCGAAGGATATTGAAAAGTTGTTAAGTCGAAGAAAAGGGGGTCCGCAGGAGGCAGAGCCGGGGGACCGCATGCGGTCGCCCGATAAAAGGGGCGGCCGCATTGATGAATATAAATCGTGTCCCAACGCGACCAAGCGGTCTTATCGGCGACCGCCACTCGACCCTGATGGTGCTTCTCTGCTTAGATATTCCGAAAGCGGACGATTTCCAGGCCTGGAATTGCACGTTTCACCTCTTCTGCCTCCAAAGAGCCAGGATTTTTTTACAAGCAGCAATAAGTGGACTGGCGCATTTGAATGCCCGGCCGGAAAACGGGCAAGTGCGGCCCTGGTATGGCCATGCATGCTGGCCGGTTCTGATAAGGCGTCGCGACGGGCGCGATGCCGACGCTGCGAGATAAAGACGCCCGTGCGCCTGTTGCGATAAGACGCCCGATAGCGCCAAGGCGCTCACCGGAAGGGCTATCAAGAAACTAACGTACAGGCGCTGTTTTAGTAATGCCGAATATCAGCGTCGATAAGATAGCCGGAAGGTAATTCATTTCTAAAGCGCTTTTATTGCGCGATGGACATGG